TATATGTGGCCTTTTGTGAATGACCTCTTTTCATTAACATATAATGATTTCAAGGTTCAGTCAGTTGTAGCAGGTATCAAGACTCCATTCCCTTTTATGGCAGAATAATGTTCTTTTGTGTGGATATACAACATTTCATTTGTCCCTTCATAAATTGATGGGCTTTTAGCTTGTTTCCTTTTTTATTATTTTAAGTGATTCCAAGTTTTTGTGTAAGCATGTACTTGAAATTTGCTTGGATACACTCTTTTTCATGTAGATTTGACGTATTATCTGATGTGACTTACTTTCAGCCTAAAGAACTTGCTTTAATATTTCTTACAAGGCAAATCTGTCAGCAATGATTCTCTCCACTGTGGTTTGTCCTAGAATGTCTTTATTTCTTCTTTACTTTTGAGAATACTTTTGATGTATAGATTCTTGATTGACAATTTTTGTTTTTATCTTTCATTCTGAGTATGTCATCCATCTGCTTTCCACCCTCCATTGTTTTGGACGAAAAGTTACCTATTATTCTTAAACTGATTTCCTTGTAAATAATGGACTGGTTTTTTTTGTTTTGTTTTGTTTTAGTTCCTGTTTTTTTGTTTTGTTTTTGGGGGGTGTTGTTTCCTGTTCATTTTTGTTTTTCTTGATTTCAAGATTTTAATCTTTACTTTCAATAGTATCACTGTGATGGGTCTGGGTGTAAATATCTTCTTTTTTATCCTATTCAGATATTCATTGAGTTATATCCCTATTTGGAACTCGTTGAGTTCTTAGATATATAGATTAATGTTTTTCATCACTTGAAAAGTTTTTCATCATTTGAAAAGTTTTTATTCAAGTATCTTCTGCCCTCTTTCTCAACAGTTCTTCCATTCTACATAACCGGTGGACCTTATGGTGTCCTTGACTTCTGGAAGGATCTGCTCATGGGTTTTCATGTTTTTTTCTTTTTTTTTTTTCAAATGATATAACCTCTACTGATCTGTCTTCAAGTTCACTAATTCTTTTGCCTGCTCAAATCTATTGTTGAGTTCCTCCAGTGAAATTTTCAATTATTATAATTTTCAATTGATGAATTTCAATTTAAACATTTTAAAAATTCCTGTTTATTGATGTTCTCTATTTGATAAATTATCATCATACTGCTTTCATTCTTCAAACATTATTTATAATAAGTTCTTTGAAATCTCTGTTAAATCTGACATCCATATCCTCCCAAGGCAATTTCTGTTTCTTTACATTTTTTTCTGTGTAGGAGATCATACTTTGTTTCTTTGCATGTCTTATAAATTTTTATTAAAAATTGTAAATTTTTTACAATATATTGTAACAACTCTGGATTCTGATCCTCCTGGGTTTGTTGTATTGACATTTTGCTTTTGTTATTGTTCATATGTTCACTTGTTCAGTCATTTGGCCAAACTAATTCTGTAAATTGTGTTTCTTCCCTAGTATGCAGTCTCTGATATTCCTGCTCAAATGTTTTTTCCTTATTATTTTTAAGCTTGACTTTCTGGGAGCTGCTGCTGGATTACTATAGCCTAGTGGCTAGGTACTGATTGGTCAGGGGTTGTGCTTAAGTTCCCTGAGCCTGTAAGGTTTTCATCCTTTTCCATGTGGCTTGGGGACCACCCTGAAAGTTCAGGGAGTGTACCTATCTGCCTCACTTTAACACAGGGACTGGTAGAGTAGAAAACCCTCTCTGGTCATGCCTCTGGCTTTTCCATAGCTTCTTGGTTCACCATTATTGAGTAAATTTTAGTGGGGCTTTTTTGACCATCTCTCTCCTTGAGTTCTCTGTTATATTTCTGCTGGTCCGCCTTTACTGACATCACAAAGATATTAGCTTCCTCTTTTACCTCTTGTTATATCTATTATTTTTGATAATGCTCTGGTCCATGGATATTGTAAACTATGTTCCTAATAAAACCAAAGGTAGGGCTGCAGAGCTGTTAATATTCACAACGTGCCCAGCCTCCAGCCTTCTCTGTTACTGAGCAGGAACTTTCTTGTTTGCCCTGCCAAGAATTCTTCCTGTAGAACAGGACATTTGGGAGTGGGAATAGGTACTACCAAGCAGCTGCAGCTGCCCACCTGGTAAAACTTTTCCAGCATACTAAACCAAGAGCGGGTGGATGAGTGCTACTGTTTTCTAGGGCTATCCTGCCCACCTAGAGTAGATCTTGAGCAATAGAAAACTATCAAACCTGCCTGAAACAGTTCTTGGGCAACATGGAGCTCTAGGGGTAATGGATGCAGTTCATGGTTCAAATGCCACAGTTTCTCAGTGAATAAATGCTTCTCCATTTCTTGCAAACCCTTAGGTCAAATTTCAGAGGTTTTAAATTGTTGTCTTAGCTTATTTTGATGAGTTCAATCAATATGCCTTTGAGGGAGGGATTCTTTGAGTTCTTCACACCACCATTCTAGCACTCCTGATCTCTGGAAGTGGTTTATAATTTATAATTTTACTTATTTGCTTTAACTTACAATATAAAGAAAATAATTGCAAAAAATAAAGGCACAAAGAATCAAATAGTTATTAACAATAAAACTACTGAATGTAGGTGAAGTATTCTGTCATTTCTTCTCTCTTCAAACTGATTTACCTAATGGTGGGGCCTATGTCATATTCATTTCTGTTTCTCTTATGCAAGGGAACAGTAGATAGGAGGTAATGGTTTTTGCATCTTAAGAACAAACTAAAGACTGTATGTATTTTAAAACATATAAATCCATAGTTAACTTACCCACTGGTTAGATGCTGGCCAGCTGGCTAGTTATAAGGCTGGCCCCTACTTCATAGTACATACACATATATATTAACATACACTTGCATGCTTACCTTTGCCTAAACTTCCCCAGAAATCTTTCACCATAGGCAAATTATTAATAGTATTTATGTACTTTTTACTTACAAGACTTTGAAGGCACAACATCCTTTCAGAAACCAGTGAAAATGTCTGAGTCCTGAAATAAGTTATACAATGCCTCAAAAATACAGGGAAAAAAATGTAGAACCAAAATAAATGTGCTTAATTAAATGTCTATAAAATGTGACACTGTCAGTTTACCAAAGTAACTCAGTTAAAATGTATGTATAAATTATGATTTAAGGTGGCATTTGAATGTATTTTAAACCTTTAAAAGGTCTTTAAGATCCTGTTCACCCTTTTTCATCCATGGATTTAAAAAAATGAGGACTGTGGGAGTGGAACCCAGGCCCTCATGAAAGATCTCTAACATTTTCACAAAGAAGCGATAGTTCCAGTGTATTTAACATTTTCAACCCTGATTTGGATAGAGAGACCAGTTGCCTCACTGTGTAGACTCTTTGTGTTTTGTCAGTTACTTTTATTCACTTGCTAATGACTGTAAACAATTTATTGAGCACCTGGAATATGAAGAACAAGGTGTCCAAAACCCCTTCCTTTAGGGACTTATAACCATGTGTTAATTGCAAAAATAAAGGCACAAAGAATCAAACAGTTATTAAAAATAAAAAATTAAATTCATTATTAAAGAATGTAGGTGTTATATTTTATAAAGTACAGAGTTTGGGCTGAAGGAGATTTGGAAGTGAGAAAAGGCCTTTTCATAAATTGATATTTAGCCTGAGGCATGAATAAAAAGTTGAAATGAAATAGGAGAAAAGTGAAGAATGGCTAATTCAGAGACATTAGAAAAGGAAAGAGATCTATGCATCATGTGTGGCGGGGGGGGGGGGGAGGCAGCCAGTGTGGCAGAAGCACTGTGAGCTTGAAGAGGATGCTGTGGAAGGAGAGGCAGAGAGGAAGGCAGGGTCATGCAGGGCCTCAGGATCTTGAATATCATGAATCTTGAATTTTATTCCACTTAAAGTTTTGAGCACCCAGCAAAACAGACCTTGTTTGATTTTTAAAAAGATCTCTGTGGAAAGTAGATGGGTGGGGTTCCTGAGTGGAAGAAGGCACAGGGGGAGTTAGGGAGGCAGTTAAATTTCATACTAGTCTAGTTGAGAGATGATGTGTCTTGGACTGGTGGATTTAGAGAAAGGGAGGAAGTGGATGGATTCAAGCAATATTGAAAACACAAATCTTTTCTTTTTAATTTTTAGTTGTTGAGAGACCTTTATTTTATTTATTTATATGTGGTGCTGAGAATCAAACCCAGTGCCTCACACATGCCAGGCAAGTGCACTACTGCTGAGCCCCAGCCCCAGCCCCTAGTTCTGCTTTTTGATACTATGTCAGTAACAGCTTAAAGTGAAACCTAATTCAAAATACTCATTGTGTTGTGGTTTTAATAAGGTAAAACTTTGGTGTTTAATTTTTATGATGTTATTAACTAATTATCATGCTATTCAGAGAGCAAGTCAATTTTTTTTACCAGAAATAAAAGAAGGAATAAACTAACACCTCTGTATATATTGTATAGTTTCCTTTCTGCTTTGACACTAGAGGCAGAAGCATTCATCAGGTTAGGACGGTGATGTTGGGTTTTTTGACCTAGAAAAACCTGGTTTAAATCCTGCCTCTGTCTCAATTAGCATTTTACCTGTAACTTTGGACAAATTATTTAACTCTTCAAAACTTTAGTTTCAAATGGAGATAATAATCCCTATCTCATAAAATATTTTTGAGAATGAATAATTTATTCATAATAGGTACTTAATCATTGCTTCACTCAATTTACTAATGGTCATCCTAGTAATCTATAATATTCAGGTTGTTTACTAATCCTAGAAATATACTTCTAGAGCTAAAGAATTTCATTCAGTTATTTCACTTTCCAGATGAAGAAGTCATAGCCTGGAGAGTCAAAAAGATTTGTCCAAGAATAAAGAGACTAGAGGCAGAATAGAACTATTTTCTCTAAATACCTTATATCTTTAGAGTAAGCTATATTGCCTCATGTGTACCCTCTCAGATGTTTAACTGAAAGATTTTGTAAGATATTCATATGTCACTTTATTTCCTGCTTAAACATGAGGGGGGTGATGGCTAATGGTGACCTTATGTTCTCTTTGCTAGTTACATGCCATGGGAAAAATTCCTGGAACCAGAATGGCAGAATTAAAAGCCAAGTACACCTTGCTGCATGACACCGTGATGAGGTAAGCTCTTTACCAATGTGGAGGTGTCTTTTATCATATCTATATTTCTTACCTGTAACAGGACTTATCTTTGTGTTCAAAGATAGTATCCCTAAAGCTGGACCCTGAGACACGGATTGAGTTCAAGTAGTTTGAGAAATGACTCAAAAAAGCATCATGGGAGAGTGGGGAAGTGAGACTGGGAAAGGAGTTTAGTTGGGGTGGGTCATTCTGTGGGTTTTACACTGTGGGCAACTGGGGTGTAATCTCACAGAGGACTTTCTGAGTGACTATGAAGAATGCACCTCAGAATCTGCCACTGAGGGATAACAAAACTGGAATATTTACCACCAGTTTTTCTATCCCTCATTGATTAAGGATTGTTCCCAGTGATATTTGCTCCTGGAACTTCTAGCTTTCCCTTGGAGAAGTCAAGCAAGCTTCTATAGCTAGAGATAGAGGTACCCAAGTGATTTCTGGTGATACTGAAGCTTGGGACAAGGGGATTTTGGTGGCATGCTGACAGCATATGCTGCAGAACACTCCTGTGGGACTCCTGCCCACCTCTCCTCACCACTCAGCGATATAGATTCTATGATGGCCCCAGCCTACATCTGCCAAGATGCCTGTCTTTACTTCTCACCTCTTCCTCCTATGCTAGGCTACTCGCCTTAGTCAAGACCAGGTCAGCAGCAGGCCAGAAGCTTCCATAGAATGATGATTCAGTAGCTTTTCCATGTACCTGCTATTAGGCACTGGGAATCAAGGGGGTAGGGGAGTAGAGAAACAAGGAGAGGAACAAATCTGCTGCTGTTTCTTAACACTCATAAGCCACCTCCTTCCTTTCCTCTCCTCCTGCCTCAGAGCCTTGTATGATAAATTCATCAAAAGCACCATCCCCCCAGTCCCCAGCCATCCTCTTCTGACAATCCCCAACCAATGCCCCTAGTTCTTAACATGCCCAGGTCTTATGTCTGTAGGGTACTTTGAGGGTGGAAGCATGAGGGAAGAGTGAATGGCTGGGAGAAGAGCAGGCCCGCATCCCTGTGCAAACTTCACTTGCACCCCACTCCATACTAACTCAGCTCTATTCAGGAAGCCCCCAGCCTTGGCTCCTCTCCCCAGTACCTCATGGAGAATCCATTCCCCCAGAGTTGGCACTGCCTGCCAGTAAGTTGTTCTCAAGACTCGGGAATTTGGAGGCTGTAGGTAAAAAATCTGGAGACATCTTCTTCAACATACCTCAACTACTTTACTGGTAGAAGACTCTGCAGATGTCAGGGCATCCCTCCTTGTATCTTTTTGAAGATACAAGGATATTGCAGAGTTATTTGTGCTCTGGATAGCTCTTATTTGGAGCCAGAGGAGTTTGCAGGGTTTAATGATTTGACTTCCCCAAATGGCCGCTGCCCCCAAACTCAGATCCCTGGGCCCTAGTGACAAATATCAATGTAGGAGCAAGGCTGTGGTGTTATTTCTTCCTGCTTCCAGGTCATGTTACAAAATAGTTACTTCCCTTCTGCTACCCACATTTTACCTCCTCTTGACCTGTAAGTTTCCTCTCTCTCCATTGTAAACACCAACCACTCTATCCTATGCCCACTGCTTGAAGGGTCTTTAAAGGCATGAAGACAATACACTCTCTGCTTTTGTGCTAGGGTTGCAGCAGGCAGGTATAGACTGGAGGTACCAAATTGAAACTGATTGAGTTTTCCATAAACACCACATTATAAAAGTTGTTAAATTCTCTCCTACAGACACAAAAATATATTTCTGCTGAAATATATTCAAGAATTTATGGATGAATTGTCATTTCCATTCTGACTAGAACCCAAACACCACATTGTCCTCCTCTACTCTTTGGGCAAACATACACTGTGGCCAAATCCAATACTTTATAGTCTAGTAATTGAAGTCTGTCTTATTAAGAGCAGATAACTTTAGATTCACTGAGTATATGAGCATGCAAGGAAATTGAATTATAAGAGAATAACCCCAGTAACTATGTAGTAGAGTGCTTTCCTTGTATGTGTGAGTCCTTGGTTTGATCCCCAGAACCAAAAAAAAGTCTAAATTTCATTAGTGGAATTTATATATGTGTTTTCACCATAGCTGTAGTGAGTTATTATTTAGCACCCAACAAAGTGCCTGGAACATATTCTGCTAATAGCAAATTTTTTTTTTTTTGGATGCCATTAGGCACTTGACATATTAAAGCCTGGGAAATGGGTGGAGCTGATAGCTTGAGCTGAGACAGCCTTGATCAAATTATGGGGCACTCTGCAAATGAGCTAAAACCTGAAGATGGTGGAGAACACACACCCAAAGAGAACACTGACTCTAAAACAGGAAATGGTCAGGCCTTGCCCCTGAATAGGTTTGGGTAGCTAATGTGAGGGTTTCTCAGAAAGATAAGTCATGTTTGATGATAAAACTGGTGAGTTCTAGAAGGTTCTGTGGATTTGACCAAGTACAATTTCTATATCCATCCAGATCTGCCTCTATGTCCACCCTTTCCAAATTGAGCCGAGGGCATAGAATATAATTGGAGTAATAGGAATCTCCTTTTCTGTGGTGTTCAAGTATGGTTTTGGACAGGCTTCAGGGTTAAGATTTTAAAAATCCATAATTTTTGTCCATAACTTTACAGGGGAATTTTTCTTCCTACTTTCCTTGTAAAGTGCCATTACAAGTTTGTTTCTTCCTAAGAGGGCAAAGATCTTCCTATAATCAAGTCAGGAGAACTCAAGAAAGCCAGATTGCTGGGGCAGTTCAAGGGACTGCCCTCATTCCCCCCCTTCCTTGGAAGTCTTGGCATTCTTCAAAGTCAGAGGAAATGTGCATAATCCCATTGAATTTAGTCTTTTCTCTGTCAGTCTCCCATTGTCTGGATCTAGACCCCAGTGGTAGGACTTGTCAGCAGGCATTCCAGTTACCAATTCCCTCTGCTGCATGGTGAGCAACTTGAGGTCAGCAGCTGAGCCTTATTCACCTGAGCATGGAGTGCAGTATTTGGCCCCCAAATAATACTGAGGTGAACTGAACCCAAGAATGGGAGCAGCTCCATGCCTCCCACAGGAGCAACCAAGGGTATGTAGGGCGTACCTTTCTCATTGTGCAAATCTGTCTTCCTGGAACCCAGCACCCAAGAGTCAGAGGTCCAGCTGCTACAGAATGCCAAAAATTTTACTGAGCAAATACAACAGCAGCAGTTTCACCTGCAGCAAGCTGATAGTTTCCCAGACGCATTCTCCACTGAGGTCTCCAAGATGAGAGAACAGCTGCTCAAGTATCAAAATGAATATAACGCAGTGAAGGAAAGAGAGTACCATAATCAGTACAGACTAAACAGGTAAGTGCTCAGTTCCCTCAAGCGCACTGAAAACAGATAAGAGCAAAGCTGTTTGCACAGAAATAAGAAAAATTAGAAAGTAATTTTAGGTACAAAGAGAAGTACCTATCATATGTTGACAGTTATAAGCTCAGTTCTTTCCTTGCTCCCTTGGAGTGAGCAGTCTCTGAACAAAAGGGGTACACAACTGACATCTAGGAAAAATGACTCAGGTGATGGAGATCCTGTTTTTTTGGTTTGTTGTTTTTTTTTTTTTTTTTTTAATGTATGTCAGGAAATCCATAGCTCTGGAAGCTACAGCCAAAAACTACACTCCACAGAACAAGCACTTGGCACGCCCTTCCCTCTCCTTACCCTGACTATGATGCCTCATTCTTATCCCCAGAAGTGTGGGTCCCTGGATCACTTTTCCTGTGGGAGCACTTCTCCCCACATGTTCTTTCCAAACAAGCCTGTGTGAGCCCAGGGTCCCACATGGCTCACTCTGTCCTAATACAGCAAGCAACAGGGCCCAAGGATTCAACCTTCATCTCCCCATCTGAAACTGTTCCTTAGGGCCGAGGAAGAACGTTACATCCTTTTGGAAGACATATTTATTTATCCCAATCTAGAGAATGTCATTTTATGAACTAAAAAAGAAATCTATCACTAGAGGAGCAAATGTTATTTCCAAAATCTCTTAACACTCCTCCTGTGGAGTAGCAAGTGGGTAGAAGAGCTACCATTTAGGTTGAATTTCAAAATTATGGCAGTTCTGGTTTTGAGCCATGGTACACTGTGTGCTGTGCCTGGATACTAGTCAGAAAGCCGAACCATCTCTCCTAGAATTTGTTACCATTTAAGGTGGCAGAGCTAGCTATTTTTAAGAACAGGTAGAATTGCTGTCAGTACAAATAGAATTCAGTCCTGCCTGGAGACCAGCAAATGGCTTGTTAAAACCCTCACAAGCCCTAGATTTTGAGATCTTCTCCTAGGATCTTATTTTTCAACTGATGGATAGATAATGAAGGCCAGTTTAATCAAGAGAATTCTACTCAGAGGGGAAAAAAATCAGTATTTTTTTCTTTCAGTCTAAACTTGTTTTAAACTCACCACTGAGATCTATAAAAAGAAAGCTTAGCTATTTCTGTGCTCTGTAAGCACTCTTTCAGCTGAGAAAATAATGAAATTAAAACAATTGGTGGTTGTTCATTAGTATTGAAAATATGAATGTTTGACATTTCGTGAAAGGGTAAGAAGAACATAAGGCAGTTGATATTTAAATTGTTTAAAATTTCCAAGTATTCCTGCCAAGAAGGAAAGAAAGAACTCTTGCCTTTTAGGTATAGATGGGCAGATTGTTCACTGAACTACTTGAGATAGGGAGGGGATGGTGAATGGTAATTTATAGTGAACAAGAACATCCAAAATGTCCAAAATGCACATTTACAGAAATGCGTAGTGTGGATTCTTTTTAATTTGTGACATATGATGCTTTAGTTTGAGCCAACTCCCTTGCATTTTCAAATATCAGCTCAAGAATTAACAAGCTTTCTCACACACACACACACACACACACACACACACACAAACGATACCAAAGGAAATACCAGGCAAGAGTTACAGGCCATGTATTTTCATTGGCTTAACATGCTTAGTGTGACATGATAAGTCACTCAACACCCTCCCCCTGGAAAAAAAGTAGATATTTCCATCCCCAGATTAAAAAAAAAAAAAAAAAAACTAAGCCAGTGAGAGAAAACTATTCATCCAAATATACAGATGACATTTGTCAGGCCAGTATAATAAACTCTCATGTTTTTCACTTTCTAAATAATAAAAGCCCAAATAACTAGCACCCCTTCACCCCAGCCCCTTTAGGAACTTCTGAATCATTGGCAGCTACTAAGAACAACATCTTGTTCAGATACTCTTGAAAAAGAATTTATAACTCAATCGATTTTCTACTGTTTTCACGATAAGCCCTTTAATAAATACTGATGGTCAGTATAATTACCTGGTTGGTTCATAATTATGCTACCATAGTCATAGTTTTTGGATTCCTTTCATTAACAACCTCTTGATAAATAGAATACATAGGTTACATAGGAAAGAATATGTAACTTATTTAAATAAGCTAAGTAAATGATAAAGTAACTAGACACAAAATGGATGTAATTTATCTTTCTAAAAACTTCATGTGAAAAGGTTTTTCAATACTCTCTTCAACATTTTCCTCGCCTTGACTTTGGGGGTTTCCCTGATTCCTAGTAATTCCTAAAACATTAACAGTAAATACATCATGGCTCTCATACTAAATCTGATGTATTTTTAAAAAATTTTTTTTTAGTTGTTGATGGAATTTATTGTCTTTATTTTTATGTAGTGCTGGGGATTAAACCCAGTGCCTCATGCATGCTAGGCGAGCATACTACCACTGAGCCACAACCCCAGCCCCTAAATATGACATATTCTGACAAGTCTCAGCTGGGGAAAGAAGGCCATGGTCAGTCAGTGCTGTTGTCACAGTGTGGACATGGAGAGTGGGGCCTCACATGCACTCATACACACACGCAGGGCTGTCCTGATGTGATCCCGACCTTAGTGACTGTTCACTCTCCTGTAGCTGGTTCTCACAGTCCCTGCTGTTGCTCACAGGGTTCATTAGTTATTTTTCATTCTTGGTCCAATAATGACAGCAAAGTAGAAACCAAGAAGCAAACAAATCATGTAAGAAAGAAATGGAAGGATGATTTTAGCAGTGCATTTGGAATTCTAGAGAATATGACAGAGGGGCATGCAGGCAGGTTCCTGAGAACCTAAAAAAATACAGCTGCAACAGATTTTATCTTCTAACCTTTTACTTTTAATTTTTTTTCTTGCTCCCCTTGTAGCAACTAATGTCTTAAGTTTAAAATAGGTTTCTCAGAGTATAATCCTCAAATAACAGAAAGAAAAGCACTTGAGATACTCATTTTAAAAGTAGATTCATCGCTGAAACTAAGGATTCTGAATTCTGCCCACACCTCCACCCCAGCTCCACACTTGAATTTTCCCTAAGTCCTACATGATTCTGATTCAAATTAGAATTTGAGAACAGTTAATCCCCCAAAATGGTACTCAGCTGCAGTTACATGTTAGGATCACCTGAATCTTCTTTTAGTAATCAGTCTGCACTTAAACACTTTCAGGAACCAGGATTGCTTAGCCTCTCTCAGTGACCAGTTCCAATTCTGGAAAGCTTCTACCCTGAAATGGTTATTAGGTTGGTTCAGAAACCTTCCTCCTTGCAACTTCTACCCATTCATGCTGATCCTACTCCTTATAGTGAAGGATTTCTCTCACCCGTGGCAATCTATTGGGCTCCCGCATTGCTTCTACACTCACAGACCCTAAAATCCAAAAACCTTCAATGACATAGCTTCAATTAAGACTATTTTACTGCAGGAAGCAAGTAAATCCTAAGGAGCTTTGATATTAAAGCACCCCTTGGTCCAGAAAGCTGAACATTTTTATATTTAAATTTTAATGTGAGTTTAAAAGGTTAGGAATTAATATATACCAAGAAGTACATACAAAAATATTTTGTTGGGGTTGGGGATATAGATTAGTTGGTAGAGTACTTGCATAGCACACACAAGGCCCTGGGTACAATCCCCAGCACCACCAAAAAAAAAAAAAAGTCTTGTTCCAGTAATGCCTTGCAAAAATGAAAATCAAAGGAGAAAAAGGAAAATTAGATAAAGATATTTACTATATCATTTTTTATAAAAGTGAGAAATTGAAGTAATCTGAGTTCTAGGAAACAGGAATATTTAAATAATTAGTCCAGAGGTACTGACTCTAGAGTCAATTTGAATGTCAGTCTAGCCTTGACTACCTGGGAAAATGCTTAACTTTTCAGTTTCTTCATTTATACGATGAAGATAAAAATTGCTTAGCAAGGTTGTGAAGATTAGAAATGATATATGTAAAATGCCTGGAATATAGTAGGTTCAATATGTGATAAATTATATTTAGGATTGTTTTATTATAGTATATATGCCCTAGAAAACCTTGAAAATAGCTATTAAATCATTAATTATGAAGTCTATTTAGCAACTTGAGAAAATAATAACTGTTAAGCAAAACTGGATTTAACTATACATACACATTTAATATAATCTTATTTAAAAATGGAGAAAATTAAAATGACCATCCATGGTGTGATAGGGGTAGGATTATGATCTTTCTCTCCTTATAAAAATACTTATCTTTTAAAGGAAATAGAAGTCAGTATCTCTTAATAAAAAGAAATTGCATAATAGAAATTTAATTAGCTTAAAATGTTCTATAAGAATTAGCCATATATATTTGTTTAAAGAAAAGACAACTTTATTTATTTACTTATTAATTAATTAATTCATTCTTTTATTCATACCAGGGATTGAATCCAGGGTGCTTAACCACTGAGCCACATCTTCAGCCCCTTTTAAAAAATATTTTATTTAGATACAGGGTTTCACTAAGCTTATTAGGGTCTTGCTAAGTTGATGAGGCTGGCTTTGAACTCATGAAGACCATTTTATTTAAAGACTACAAGTCCTATCTTATGGGATAGCTTCATGTCACCATTTTGAAAATCAAAGGCAATCAGGTTGCCTTTATAACCAAAAGATGGCAGCACATTACCACCCCCTGGTGGCAACATGCCTAAGTGTAGGATCAATATATGGGAATTAAAATATCACCAATTTTTCAAACTCTAAAAGGAAAGGTGTTAAATTAAATTAAATATCATCAGCTCTGAAAATTCAGTTTCAGTTTTTGACCCAGAAAGTTAACTTATATTAAATTCAGTATGAAATATATTGTGGCCCTATCCTTAATCTACATTATTATAAACGAAATTTTATAAAAATGAAAGCCAGTGTGCATGCACATGCTTTAGCTCCCTGTTTCCAGATATACTGACTAGTGGATATAACCAGTGGGTCCTTGGTAAAACCAGCAGACCTAATTCTCCATGCATTCCCAATTTT